CTCCTTTTGAATAGGAACCATCAGTTTATGTGGAAGCCACTGGCGGATCCTGGTACAAACCTGGGCTCTGAGTGTTCTGAAAATAAAATCAGAGATGCTAAAATAAAAATGAAATGTATTGTCAAAGAGCCAGAAACTCGTTTTGATAAAGAAGGTGAATAATTAGAAGATGACTGCTGCTGTTCCTTTTGCACTATGACTACTTTATCTCAGGTTTTTTCTAAGTATCCTGATAGCATGCTAATATTATTCTACAGAGAGGTTTAATCTGCCACAAAGGAACAACTCTGTCTTAAGACAATGACTGTGGGATATGTGTGACTGGGATGCTATACTGCCATTTGTGTGTGCAGCATTCAGTTAGTCAAGATATGAGACTTTTTTGTTTCATTTTGTTTTTTTTAATAAAGAAAACTGGTAAGCATCAAAAGTTGTAGTTGGCCAAAATAGTATTTGTTTCAATTTGACTGAATTCAGTGGATTGGCAACAGAAATGCACCTGGTTCTTGTTCAGTGTTCCATTTTAAGACATTTCACTTATTTTAACAACCGCTAAATCTCTCTGCACTGTTTTGTCTGCCAGCTCTACAATCTGTGGAAAGAAGAAAACATGTGCACCTTAGAAATTGTTTAAAATGACAAGGACTTTTAGCAAGTCTTTACAAGGCAGGAACTAAGTATCTTTCTCAACAGAACCTCACTGTTTGTTTCCTAGCAAAGTGGGTTTGCTTTGATAATTAGAAAACAACTTTGAAACAAAAGGATGTTTTTAATTCAAGCCAAATAGGGTAGGGCTGAGTGAACCCAAATTCTTATATCTCAAGAGCACTGCTTTACAAATTTTCTAGCCTTTTGTAACTGTAATCAACAGCGAGTAGCCAAAAATTGCCAAATATTTATGAACTAGTTTGCTCCTGCTCTTTTTCTTTTCAGAAAGGAAAGTATCTGAGAAGTGTATCCAGGTAGGCAATAACCAACATTCTGGTATGCACCCACGTCATGTGATTAGATGGGATGTTTGACTTTTATTGAAATTTTTTCTCCTCTTCAACCCAAAGTAAATAGCTATTCAATAGGGAGGTGCCCTCTCTTGTAGTTAAACACTTGTTTTCCCAGAGGGCCATTCAGTATTGCAAAACTCAAGGGCTGAGGCAAAATTGCTTGGCTTTGGTACCTTAACAGGAATGCAGATGCCTACCAAAGAAAACAGCAGGTTTGATGCCGTTTCTGGTGAGTGAAGCTGAAGGATAAACTGGTAGTGAATAAATGTTAATTCCAGCTTTTAGTCACCAGCTGGCTGCAGTATTCTTTGAAACAAAGAGAGATTTGTTAAAAGGTAGGGATGAAAAGGTGTCCTGCAACAATTTCCCCTCTTTCTATTTGACATTGAAAATAGAAACATCTATAGAAAACAGAAATATTTACCCTGTCAAATGCTGCCAGTTTGAAACAGTATCTGAAATGCATTGGAGTGTCTGCTTTTAATTGATTTTCTCTGATGAAACCCGTCTTCTATTTCTTGAAGTTTTGTATGTTCTTTTTTTTAATGTATAAATTTGGTTAGTCATCTTAATCATGAGGCTGACAATGAGTTTTAAGATAAATTAATATAAAATGGTTTCTCTTGTACGTCAGTAATATTGAATGCAAACATAGGATTACAACCTTTAATTTCTGCTTGTGCACCAATAGGTAATTCTCTCTCACCTCCTTTAATACAGCATTGATTGTAACTGTACTGTAGCTTAAATATTTCTTTAGCTCAATATGTTAGGGACTAAGTATAAGTTCACTCAGGTGTTTTCAAGATTGTGCTTGACTGACTAAGATTGCTCTGGACTGTAATCTCTTATTTTCATGTTTTGGGGTTTTGGGGTTTTGAGGGTTTTCTTGTGGGTTTTGGGGGGGGGGTTTTTGGTTGTTTGGTTGTGGTTTGGGGTTTTTT